CTCCCCATTTCTTCCCCATTTCTTCCCCATTTCCTCCCCAATTCTCAGGGAAGGTGAACCCATTCAAATCCTCTCCCACAGGGAATTTTTTCATGGATAATTTTTCTCTCTGCCATCATCCCCTCACCTCTGGGCTCTGCAGAAGCTTTGTKGGTACTTACAGGACGTGTTCTCATCTTCCGTGGGGCTCCCCAGCGACTCCATCCCCGTCTCTTCTGGGAGGGGTCTGTGGGACACCGGGGGTGTTCAGGGGAATTAATTCCAGAAAAATGGACACAGCAGAGATAAAAACAATAAAAACACCCCCAGGTGGGCTCTGCATTCCCCTTTTCCCGCTGAGCCCGTCCTGAGCGATTCCCTCAGGGAATTTTCCCCCACCGATCTCCAAACCATCCCTGCTTTTCTCCAAAGGTTGAAAAACCCAATCAGGGCAGAAATCCCGACCCCAAAAAGCCTCTGCAACATCCTCTATTCCACATTATCCCCATTTTTCCTCTCTGGAAAATTTTTCCTCTCTGTAGGAACTCTGGGGCTCCTCCTTAGGGCACCAGGAAACACCTCCCTGGTTCAAACCCAGCCCCACACAGCTGGAGGCACCAATTTAAAGGTTTGAAAGGTTTTAGGGCTGCACAATTGAAAGGATTTGAARGTTTTCATTGCTAAAATCAACTCGCAGAGTGTGGCTGTCACCCTGACCCTCACTGGGGTGAGCCAAGTGGGAATTCAGCCCCAGTCCCATGGAGAGGAACTTTTGATCCCCGCTCTCCACTGCCCACCCTAAATTGGGCATTCCCAAATGTTTTCCCTGTTAAACTGGAGCTGGGACCTGGAATTATCTGGGAATAATTCAAACCCCACCAACTCCACAAGTTTATGTTGTCAAATCTCCGTTTCCCTCATTCGTGCGCTTCCTTCAGGGACGAGCTCATTCCCAGCTGGAAAATTCCCGGGATGGAACAGGGGAGGGAGGAATCCCGCGGCTTTTAGGATGAGGAAGAGGATGAGGATGAGGATGAAGAAGAGGATGAGGATGAGGACGGACCCGTGCAGAGGTCACTGTCCAGCAGCGCCACAAAAAGGGAGGTGACAACGGCGACAGGACCCAGCCCGGCCCCGCTCCTCTCCCCGCTGCCACGACACCAGAGCCACCAGCCCAATTAAACCCTATAAATATGTAGATTAAGGGATAATCCTCCGCTGCTGGTCATTGTATATTTATGAGAGACGAGGACCTGATCAAAGGCACGTGCTGCTCGTGCGGCACC